GGTGCTAGGGGCTGGGGAGCGGGCTGGGGAGTGAGTGTTTAATGGGGACAGAGTTTCAGTTTGGGACACTGAGAAAGTTCTGGAGATGATGGTGGTGATGTTTGCATAACAATGTGAATGTGCTTAATGCCACTGAGCTGTGCACTTACACGTGGTTAAGATGTAAGTATGTATATTTTACCACATTGAAAAAATCATCTTGGCTATTGTTGAGTATTGGCCCTTGGGAAGGAATTCTAGAGTCAGTGCTGGTGATGTCTGTGAAAATCGCATTTGCATTTTGCCTGGGTTTGCTTTACTCTGATGCTGGGGCAGATGTGCTGTGTCCCATCTGGGTGGCCTCACATGTCATTTAGAAGGTGTGGAGAAGTTTGTGTCACTGCCCAGCTTCCAGCCCTCCTCCCAGAAGCACCTGGCTGTCCTCTGGGAGTTGACACCCTCACTCTTTTGGGACCAGATCCTACGTGTACCTGTTCCCCAAGGTTGGCCCAGGAGTGGGCCATTGCCTGAGCAGGGCAGATAAGTCCCTGGCCATGCACATCAGGGCTTCTGCAACAGGGTGGATGGGGTGAAGGAGGAGAGGGGCCCGGCCTTCACGCAGCTTCCTGGTCACCAGGATGTCCTGTGAGCCTGGGTCAAGCCTTACCTGAAGGTGGATACCCTGTGAACTGTAAATCAGAAAGTCACGTGTGAACCAGGCACTGGCTCCCTGGTCTCTTTTAAGAGCATTAGGAGAATCTGTTCACAGGCCAGGCTCGAGGGATGTTCTGGCACCTGAGAATGGGGTGTTTTTCGTGCCATTTGCTGTTTCAGTAATGCTGACACGTAGGGAAGCTGCTGCTCAGCTGAAGACCCGGCACAAATAGTTCTTTTTCCTTTTTTGTGGCAGCTGGCCAGTGTGGAGATCCAAACCCATGACCTTGGTGTTGTAACACTGCTTTAACCGAATGAGCTAACCGGCCAGCCCACAGATAGTTCTGCCTGTTCTTTCTTTGGACCTTTTAAAAATGTAGATTGAAAAATAAACAAAAACGTAGGCTGAGGTGCTGGCTGGCTGGCTCAGTTGGTTGGAGCATGGTGCTGATAAGAGGAGGTCCAGGGTTTGATCCCTGCACCAGCCAGCTGCAAAAAAAAGGGGGGGGGGTCAGACAGCACTTTTCGGCTTT